GTGTAGTATCGCGTAAAAACCAATGTAGGACTACTCCCACATAGTTCCCGCACTACGTCCTACATAAGGCCGAGATGGTGTAAAGGTACTACGGTTCCCAATATCACAGACTCCAATCGACCATGGAAAAAGTTTTCACGATTACTCGTTCAACCGGACCATTTTTGAAAAGGTCTCAACTGAGCGGCGATTCTCGAATCAGCTTGGTCGGGATTCAACTCCCTATAATCCTCATCGGATATATCCCCATCCTATAATAATGTCACTAGTCCGGGCGTAGGACTTATCTCACAACACAAAGAACAGTCCCAAAATCAAAGTACAATATATACATGCAAATGAATAGTAAAACAAATAGTAATAAATATGAACAAATTAGGGATAACCCTCAAAAGTTTAGAAAGTCCCCAGTGAAGTCGCCATTTTCTGTTGCGGTGGAAATAGGATCACAAACTATTAATGAGTTTGAATCGCAATTCAATTCACAACCGCTCTTTGATTTATCCGAAGGAAAAGGTCAAAAGAGGGAAAACCTATTTTGCATCGTAAACACAATGCGAGGAAATATCTAGGGTTCGGGGGTTGGTTAAATTTAGGGAAGGTATTAGCACCCTAAACTTCTGTAGTACTCTACAGGAACCTTTTGTTCAGATGTTTACTATTTTGCTTTATTATTATTAAGGTATATGTACAAGGATTAAAAGTGAGAAAAGAGACCTAAGGGGTTAATTCTAAGTTTACTCGGCAAGACATCGCATCTTGTGCCTACGTATCCTTACGGGAGTGGAATCAGAGTAATCGTAGTTCCCCTCAAAAGGAGGTTAGAGACTTCTTGACTGTGGTCAAGGTCTCAATGGGAATAAACATGTCTTAAGGACACGCTTACGTGGAGTGTAGAAACTCCAAATCTCTACGTTGAAATATTAAGTTGAAATTAGGGTTAGGTTAGGTTAGGGATTCCGCGGCGGGAAACCCTAAAATGAGCGCGGCGGCTCTTTGACCTAATGCTAAGGGTAAAATTGTAATCTTGCCTGCGGCGAGGCATTTGTGAAAATTTAGGGTTGAAAAGGTGTAAGGGTTGAAGGTGAGGACTATTGACACGGCGGTCAAACGGCTAGACCTAATTCCTTCGGAGGAGTGAAATTATTGGTAAAGACGCGATAAACATACAATGGCAGAACATAAAGTGCGGAAAGATAAATGCGACAATTGTCTCGCAAAATTACACCCCATAAGCAGTTACAAATATGATAATTGAATATTTAAACTGAAAATAAAATCAATTGAACTTAGTCAGCTGCAAAAAAACCAAAACAAACAGAGACTGTTATTATACGGGGTTAGACGAAAAATTAGACAGGAATTTTAGGAATTTAAGTAGAAAATTATAATTTTAACGAAACAAGAAGAAAATTAGAAATTTGAATCTTAAAAAGGAGGATGGTAGCGAAAAATTAATAAACAATGAAAATTGATACGCAATGAAGATAGTGATAATATACAAGTGATAATGGAATATGAAATAGCAACGATGATGTCAGATTATGTACAAATATAAAAATAAATACAAAAGTAAATAAATAAATATTAGTGAACAGGTTCATGGATAATCAATAATACTGTTAGGAATGAAGGATGAAAATTGGAATTGACGATAATTAGAAGTTAAGTGATGAATGTTTTGAGACGGCGAGAATTTAGGTAATTAGAAAAGAGTTAGAATGGAATTAAGTTTTTTTTTGGGTGAAATTTAGAAAAGTTAGAGTTTTTAATGTGATTAAGAAAAAGAAAATAGATTAAAAGTTAGAATTAAAAGTTAGCAAAAAAATTAGAACTTCGAAATTTGGTTTTTAGAAAAAAGGTTAGAAAATAAAAATAAAAGTTTGAAAATAAAAGAGAAAAAGTTAGAATTTTAATAAAAAAAAGAGTTAGCATTAAAAGTTAAAAAGTGAGTTAGAACTTTGAATTTTAAAAAAAAGTTTCTTGAAATTTTAACATAAAAGTTATGAATTTTTATATTAAAAAAAAAGAAATATTAACTAAGAACAGTTAGAGTTTTAATTTAAAAAGAGTTAGAATGTTAGAATTTTAATTAAGAAAAAATGGTAGAAATTTTGAAAAAAGATATAAAAAGATTAGAAATTAAAAAAAGAAGAGTTAGTTACTTTTGATGAAGACTGTAAGAGTCTTTGATGCTTGCCGATCCCCCGTTTTGTTGCTCCTGAGGGTCCTTTTATACTTGATTTTTTTTTTAAATCTTTTTCAATCTCAGATTTGATTTGAATATCTCAATCTTTTTCAATCTCTGATTTGATTTGAATATCTCAATCTTTTTCAATCTCTGATTTGATTTGAATGAATTTTTATGATGATTTCAAATTTGATTCAATGATGGTGATGTTGATATTTAGATCTGATTTTCTTATGATGATGATATGATCTGATTGATTTGATTTTGCTCCATCTGTGATTTATTGTGATTGGATTTGATAAAAAAAAAGTGTTGGGATTTAAATTTAAAAATGTTAGCAAAGAAAGTTAGAGTTTCAAGTTAAATAAAAATTAGAGTTTTAAGTTTAAAAAAAATGAGTTAGAATTTTAAAATAAAAAACATTTGAATGTTGATTTAAAAAAAGTGTTAGAATTATTTTAAAAACTGTTGGAATTTCATTTTAAAAGGAATTTAGAATTAAAAAAAAAAGAAAAAGAAAAGGGCGTTAGAATTTAATTTTAAAAAGAATTTAGAATTTTAATTTGAAAAATAAAGGTGTCAAAAAAAGATTTAGATTTAATTTTAAAAAAAAGTTAGAAAAAAAATTAATTTTAAAAAGAAGTTAGAGAAAAAAAGATTTAATTTTTAAAAAGAAGTTAGACAAAAAGATTTAACTTTAAAAAGAGTTAGACAAAAAGATTTAACTTTTAAAAAGTTAGAAAAAAATTTTAACTTTAAAAAGGTTAGAAAAAAGATTTAATTTTAAAAAAAGTAGTTAGAAAAAGGATTTAACTTTTTAAAAAAGTTAGAAAAAAGATTTGATTTTTTTAAAAAAATTTAGAACAAAAGATTTAATTTTAAAAAAGTTAGAAAAAGATTTAACTTTAAAAAACAGTTAGAAAAAGGATTTATCTTTTAAAAAAGTTAGAAAAAAAATTTAATTTTAAAAAGGTAATAGAATTTGATTAAAAAATTGTGTTAGAAATTAATTAAAAAAGGTTATAAAAAATTTACTCTTGAAGAAAAGAAGAAAAAAAATTAAATTTTAATCTAAATCGTAAAAGTTAGTAAGAAAAGTTTAAAATGATTTAAATAAATAAAATAAATAGAAAAAAAGTTAATAAAAAAACATTAGTAAAGTTATAAAAAAGGTTAATTAAATTATTATTAGTTAAAAAAATAAGATCTAAAAAAAGGTTAATTTATTAAGTTAATAAGAATTTAAAATAAAAATAAAAAAGAAAGGGTAAAATTTGGGGTATTACACCATCCTTTGACAGTGTGTAATATTAATGTAGGTACAAGTAACATCAACCAATTCAACATGGTAATTGAAGTTCCTTATTGAGACGAACGTTGAGAGGGGAGGATTAACAATGACATGAAGAATTTGAATGTGTCACAAAGTGCAACTTTAAAATACTATTCAACAGGGCAACATCAATATATCTGGCATCGGGACTAATTGCAACCATAAGGACATCATCATTCATTCTCATCGTCTTGACTTTTGAAACAGCGAGTTGCTTGGCGGCTTGACCAGGTTTTTGTTCAATTTGGTAGTCCCAAATTTTTACTTCATGATCTGCACTTTTTATGACGAAACCAAGTTTATCCGGCGGAGCAGCAATGTCACATCTGCAGGTAAAGCTCTTACGCAAACTTGTTTCAAAATTTACTTTTATTCGGATGCTGTGGTATTGCATGGTTTATTGTTGATGGTTTTCTTCTGATGACAGGGATTCAAATGTGTTTCCTACTTGACATGCTTGAAGTCTTAGCCTACATGGTCTGAAGCTGTTCGGGAGACGAACATTTGGCACAATGAATTCAAATGGAACATGGCTCCTCTTGGGGAATGGGCGTGATGGCAATTACGGTAATGGGTTTTTCACTATTGCTTTGTTTAAGTGAATACCCCAGTTGCTCAGGGAGAAATACATTGCTTTGTCTATCTTTGACAGACTTCTGCAGTCCGTTGTCTAAAAATTCTCAGAGACTCGGTGTTTAGCGTCAAGCTTAGTGACAGCATTGGAGCGCCTCTTATGATCACCCATTCATGCTTAACATCCGTTGTAGCCATATTATTTTTTTGTTTCGAGAATGCTGTCTACACTTTGAGGGAGTAAATGGATTGCTAGAATTACTTTGATCTGCATTTGTGGGAGAAATGGCTTAGAAGGCTGATACTACCGGTGCCGGTGACCAAGCTTCTAATCGGTGTTAATTGGAGTTTGAGCAAATGAGGGGTAAATCCTAGCTCCAAAACCTTAACACATGAGCTTCTTAATTTTAGATGAGTGGTTTTCAATTGTAAACTGCTGACTTGCTAATGTATTCTTGCAGAAAAACTTGAAGAGCAAAATAGGATTGGGGTCATCCCGGTAACCAGTTGAAGGAAAAAAGATGCAGGACTGAGCTTCGCTATCGTAGCCAATGACTGGAGCTAGTGTGGTAATTGGATCTCTTATAAAACTCTGAATTTCCTTTCATGTCTTCGATTCAGTTTAATGTTGCTATGCTTTGTAAAAAGATTGTGATAGCTGACAACCAATTTCCTTTGGTCTATCATGTAGGGAGCCTGAGAGGAGACGTAAATACTTCATATGTGAAGGAACACGTTGTGGAAAGCACACCGGGTGCGTCTCAATCTAGCCAAGCTGCGACTCTTAGGGATAATGGGGATTTTGACCGGTCTTTAAGACCAAAGACTTTCTTGCATCATGATTTCTCTACACTAAATCAACTTCAGTCCAGGAAAGTATGAATTTCAATCTTATTGACCAAGATGTCAACAAATTCAAAGTATCAGATGGTGTTGGAGACATACAGTTTGATTCTAATCGTCGACAACGGTCATACGGATACAATTACACGTTTGAAGATGTTTTGGGTAATAACTCTTCAGTGCCAGGTGATGGACGAGAAATTGATACATCTTCTGAGGTGGTTGAACGCAGTTGCATCTGAGGCTGAGAAGGATACCAAACTGGAGCATTCGGTTGCATTTGTGGATGAACTTGAGGATGAGGTTACTGACATTTGTTGTTTGTTGTTGCAGGTGAAGGTCTTGCTATTATTGATTTCATCCTGAGTGCCGTTAACTTCGGCGGTAACTTGGTCCTTCTTGTAGGACAACAAACCACGTAATGGCTGCTGATATGAGGATGGTGGTTACAAAGATAACTCTGCTTAGGTCTTCTTGTCCTCTTTTATACATGATTTAAATAGCTTCCCTTTTTATTGACAGGTCTGCAGGGTAAGGTGATGCAGCAGGTCGCGGCGCTGCCGTTGGTGCTGAGGACTTTGCTACTGGGATCTCACAATAAGTACCGCTGCTGCCAGTATTTAAGAGGGTGTAACGGTGATTCGTCTTGAACTAGTGGTAATGCGAACTGTTTTCTAGCTTCTCTTATCCATGGTAATACTTCGCGACCGTCGCTAACATTTGTTTTGTTTTGCAGGCTGTTATAGCCTCTCTTCATGCTCCACATCTCTCAACTTAATATGTCAAGAATGATGTTGGAAAGGCCTTGATTCACATGTATCTTTCATCTCCACCTGAACACGTTTTGACGGCGCATGGATTATGGTGGCAACATTAACTGTGTCCGTGTTCCGGTTTGCAAGGAATGGCGATTCAGCATTTGTTCAGCATTGCAGATGGAGTGCGGTTCTTGATGGCTAAAAAAGTGGTGAAAAGGCTTTAATGCATTTTTAACGAGTTCCTGTTTTCAAACGTAGCCGACTGATCTCTGTTTCTCTGCAGGAGAGGGTTATCCGTCTTGAGGGATATAACCAAGGCCAACACAATTGGAACAAAGGTTCCCACCGTGCCTGTTATGTGTAATACTAAACCACATGGCACTTTTAGTTATAATTCACTGACTCTAGCTTTGTCTCTAGCTTTAAGTAATTAATTGGTTTAGAAGTGATCAAAGTTGTACTTCTTTTCCATATGCCCAACGTGTGAACTGATATAATTGTCCATAAATGCAAATGATCAAATGTTGGGGTTTTCTAATCAAAGTTAAATGTAATTCATATTTAATCTTGTAATGTTCGAAATATGCGTTCTTAGATCTTGCGATAGCGGTTGAAGTGAGCTGTAATTATAACGCTTTAGAAATAAGCTTGCTACTCACAATGAAGCCTTAAATTATGAATTCTTAAGATTTGAGCCAATAGACCGGACATGGAGACTTGGATTTGAGTTCTAGTCTGAGCTTGTTGAAGAACGAAAGCCTTGAAATTAATACAACCAACACAGGCCGGGTAATGGGATATATGTCGACAATAATTGTAATCCATATGAACATGACTTTAAGGATTTCCGTATTTGGATGTTACAACCTTATTGTTCACCCAATAAATCCGTATACAGTGCATTGAGTCAAATCTAACGTGATATGAGTTAGACTTCTCCACCCGAACCAGATAACACCGCTTGATTAAATTGCAACCACTGAACTTAAAACTCAAACTAATGATCCTCAAATATTGAATCCCAAAACTAACTTGTGCTACAAATGCCTCTGTCACCGCGAGCCCATGATCTCAATTCCTGTACAAACCTTGTCTTGACAAATATTCCTTGACAAAGAGGGAAAAACTTTGAAAGGGGCCAAAATCCTGATTTAGAGGGATCTAAAAAAACTCCGCCTGAGACGTCTTTAAAACTAAATAACCCTGCATGCACTCGTTAGTCGCACACAAATGTAAAAAGATAAAGCGTGAGAAAACAACTCAGGGAGGTGGATCTTAAGGTCAAAAATTAGGGCGTGATAGATGCCCCTATTTAAGTTACTTCTGTCCGGAGATATGAAGATTGAAATCTTCGTCTCGACGAGATAAGAGGGACTTAAATACAAACATTGTACAGATTTTTGGCCGTAAGAAGCCACCAAATGCATATGATATGCGATGATATGGTAATGCAAGACAGAGGGTCCTGTGGAGAAAAGACGTCACGGGGGAAGAAAATACGACACACGGGAAGGACAGGCTCAACAAAGGAGACTCCACGGGGAAAGATTGGCAATCATAAGGTGTCTGTAAGTATGTTGTGAAGATCTTGGAAGAGAAATCCTCTTGAGGAATCTACTGTATATGTCAAATGTAATGATTTCAAGATGTCAGCTGGAGAAGTCTACTGTCGAGACGGGTACCTGTAATTGAGAATACTTTTGCCAAAGTATGTATTGTGAAAATCTGTAAGGAATCTACTACCGAGATTCTGTGTTGAAGTCTGTTGGAGAAATACTTCTGACGAAGTCTTCTGGAAATCTACTGCCGAGATTATCCAGAAACTGAAATAGAACTACCTACTGCCGAGGTCTTCTGGGAATCTACTGCCAAGATTAACCAGGAAATGAAATAGGACTACCTACTGCCGAGGTCTTCTGGGAATCTACTGCCGAGATTAACCAGGAAATGAAATAGGACTACCTACTGCCGAGGTCTTCTGGGAATCTACTGTCGAGATTAACCAGGAAATGAAATAGAACTACCTACTGCCGAGGTCTTCTGGGAATCTACTGCCGAGATTGACCAGGAACTGTAAGATGTTTGAATGATTGTCGTTGTAGACTGTAGTTGTCGTTGTAGACTGTAGTTGTCGTTGTAGACTGTAGTTGTCGTTGTAGACTGTAGTTGTCGTTGTAGACTGTAGTTGTCGTTGTAGACTGTAGTTGTCATTGTAGACTGTAGTTGTCATTGTAGACTGTAGTTGTCATTGTAGACTGTAGTTGTCGTTATAGACTGTAGTTGTCGTTGTAGACTGTAGTTGTAGTCTGTAGAACTTGTAGGTGTAATTTGTAGATGTAGATGTAGTCTGTAGTGTAGAGCTTCACCGGGGATCTTCGGAAGAAATGTGAGCCGGTTGAATTGTAATGTATGTCCTCTAAAGAGAGACTATTGCGATAAACTTCTTCGACTTCTTCGGGGAGATGTCACAGCTGGAAGTAAACTCGTGTGATGAACTCACTGGGGGATATATTCCTGGGGAGTACCTTTATTGTTGTGAAAATATGCGAATTCTCAAATGAAGAGAAATGTCTGTAACTGTCTCCTCTGATGAATCAATAATGTTGAGGGACCCACTGAGGGTAAATGATCTGTCTTGTGAGAACTGTCGTTTGTCGTTTTGACTAGGATCTTGATCAAAACGAGTTGCTCTAATAAAGAGATAGATGTTCGAGAAAATCCTGTGATGCTATTGTTGAAGAAATGTCTGTCTATTTTCCCCGGGGAATAGGGTGCAAAATAAATGCACACTTAATTCATGTTCAAAGGTTGGAGATGTCCATGATGTGATTGTCAGAAAACGAAGTTCGATTCGGGAAGTAGCCGAAAAGAGACCGTCGAGCAAGACTTGACCATTGAGGTGTGAACTCAAATGGAATTGTACTAAAATAACCATCTTCCATGAGGGTTGATCATCATGGGGAAAATGAAACATTATGCTCTTTCTGCCTAAGGCTAACAACTCTATTTGGAGAGATAAGACACACCCAAACACCTAGAGATAACTATAGCCAAAGCGATGGAACTAAAACAAACACAAAGAATGCAAATAAATGCACATGCTATGTTGTCTACTTATATGCTATGTGTATGCCTATGCTGACAAGACAAACAGAAAATGAAATAAACATCTCGAAGCAAACATCTGACCAATCCTCAAAGATAGAAGCACCACTAGGGATAGGTGGAGAACTAGATGGGATCACACTCCTGCTTCAGGGCTTCAAAATTTCTCTCGGGGAATAGAGAACATTCCACTTGGGAATAAAACACTTTGATCATGCTGGAGAAGATCGACGTTGTAAAAGGTCCATTGAGGAGTATAACACATCCATTTCGCTGGGAATATGAAGTTGGAAAAGATCGACGTTGATTAAAATATTATCTACTTCATTGGGGAAGAGAAGTTGAGCAAATCACTAGGAATTCTTGCATTGAAAGGCTTCATCGGAGAAATGTCATGACCACCAGAAGTAAAATTATCGGGGACATGCAAAATGTTGTGAAATTGCTGAAAAATTGTACTGAAGACTGCATGGTAGTCGCCATTTGAACGATAATTGTTGCATACGGACAAGATAATCTTCGTTTCTCAGGTGCCCCAAGTCACATGGTTATGAGAAGAAGTTGTTCTAAGAGGATTTTACATGGCGTCCTATTGTTTTCAAACTCTTCGAGAGATTCGCCGAATCTCGACGTAACCGGCTCTAATTGATGGTACTATGAATAAGTCTTCAGAAATAGATCTCTAGATGAAGTCAAATTTGCATAGAATAACCACTTGGGAATAACTTGCCCCAGGTCAGCAGAGTCTTCAAATTTTAATAGAACAAGCTTAATGTTGATACTCATGTGTAAACTTTCTATGACCTCGGCAAAGATCAACACGTATGAAATGTTAATTCTGAAACCGTTAATGCAACATATATGTTTGTCTTGAAGTTTTGAAAAGAGATATCCCAATAACTGGTGACCGAAATCACTAGTTAGGATATAAATTTGTTTTATAAAGCCAATACCAAATTGAGCATAGCTCATAGGAGTCAGGAAACGTTATCTCACTGAGTATGCTTTCGAAGTAAACCTTACTTTAATAAGGACTTTTGAAAGGTTGTATCGATTTTGACGATTTGTAAAACAAAGGAATAAGGGTAAAAGCTTATTTGTACCCACCCATTTGAAAAAAATTTACTCTCTTTGAAAATTTAGGTGCTTAATCAAGCTGATTAAAAAAAGGTTTTCTTTGTCCCAGGTTTTTTTGTGAAAAAAAATGAGGTTGGAAAGGGTTTAACTTCCTTACGTCTTTGGTATTTGGGAAACCTTTTGAAATAGTGCCTTACATCATTAATAGGTTTTTTTATTCGAAAGCATACCACAAGGGATTTTGCGTTTTATTTCGTCATCCTCCTCCCAATTCTTCACCAAAGTGAGGAAAGATCGGGTAAAAGTTGGCATTATAAAATTATGAAGAAAATTTTTTAAGAGTGAAACCAATGGATTTCTTCAAGACAAACACTTATTGCACTACTTATTCAAAATAACATGTTCTTAGATGCCAATTATGCTTTT